CCAGGCTCCTCACAGACATATTTCTGTCATCCAAATGGCTGTGTGAAATGGTCACTAAATAGTAGAAAAATCAGCATTTTGCTAATTAATCAGAGAAAGAAAAACTCGTGGGGAGTGGAAAAGAGATACGGGTGTCTTTTAAGGTGGGGGAAATCACCTGATCCCACTCAGTCTGAAATTGGTAGAAGTGGTTTCCATCTATTTCAGCAATGGCAAGTCTGGATCCATGAATACAAACAAGCTAAAACTAATCCACAGTATTGAAAGAATCTGCACAAGCACATCAATAGTATAAATGAAAATTTACTGAAAGTGGCTTCAAAAGCAGCACAAAGCAAGCCACAAAAAACTTAAAACTTCACAGGAAGAAGGCAAGAAGATATGGGACAGAACTGAGCAGAAAAAACCCCAAACAACTCAGTAACAGACAAATTAGACCGTTATTTAATCTTGATGCAACTTTGGTCAAACAGCCTGTTGCACGCCATTGTTTCTGAACTATAGAAAGACTCCAATAAAAGTCAGGCATCACTTAGAAAATGCGTTTATCCTGCGTGGCTACCAAAATGAACATTAGCTGAGAGGCAGGAGCATGGGAATGTTGGCAGGGTTAAGGAGCAGTGGCTGTGGCAATGAAGATAAGGTGCCCAAAGGAAGTATAGCCGTGTCCCTCCAGGCACATTGCTGGCTTTGATCACGCTCCTTGCAGTACCTGGTCAGCAAAGACTACCACACCATCACTGGAACAAACTGCAGCAAGAGAATGGAAAATGCCAAAGGTCAAGTTGTGGTATTTTCACTTGGGTGATAACAAGGAGCACAAACCATAGTACCACCATGAACTCAAACACACACCAAAACACTATGAATGCAATGGGAGGAAAGTAATGACAACTTTTGCCAGAGAGTGATGGGCATCCTCAAGCACCCACCAGGCAATGCCATTTGAATTTATTTGACCCTCCCAGGACTGGAGCCAGTACCCTTGTGAGTGCAGGATGGAGAAGGCAGCTGGATCGGATCCGCAGTGCAGGGTGCACACCCTTCTCGGGCAACTTGCTGATGGCACGGTGAAACCAAGGCCATGCTTATAAGATGCAGAAGTGATGACACTGAAATTCCTGGGGTTTAATTAACTGCCAGAACAACTTGGGAGTAGTTCAACACAACCACACTATATAGGCTCATAAATTAAGAGTATCGATTTGTGCTCACTAATAGAAGGTAAGTCGTGATCTATCCAGTAGCTGCTTTCCTTAGACCTGCTTTTCAAAGTATAAAGCAAATCCTCTTCATGACAGAAACACTCATGGACCTTATCTGAAGTCCAACCCCACTACTGATATCAACACATTAAAAAAGAACAAAGCAGATTCCACAGATATTAGTCCAGTCATGTAATGTGCAAGTAATCAAGAGGGCAAAGGAACATCTTCTGATTGCAGAAGTAAATCCAGCACCTTTTGTTGTAGCCAGTCGTTTTAAACCCAATACCTCTGCTCTGATCTCTGGGGTCTAGTGGGCATGGAGGAGGTCCAGGGAAGCTCAGGAGCACTGGCTGTTGCGTTAGCACTGTCTGGGGCATGGCTACACGGTTCCCTTATTCCCTTTCTCTCTCTTCACGCCCCCATAACATGAAGGCTATCTTTGCCCCTGGGAAGAATAAGAGATTTGACTTACCTGGGTCTGGCACATTTCCATCATGATGTTACCCTGCACAAGGGTGTTTAGTGCCTATGTTGGGAGCTTCAGATCTATTGATTGATTGCAGAGCCTTGCCTCCCGCAGTGGAAACTCAGGCTGTTTGAAACCTTCATTTAAATATATGCTATATTGTTTCAGGTGTCCAAAGTTTTATTTTACTTCTCTAGTAAATATCTTCCAGCTCCTAAACAAGAACTTTGGGAAAACTGCTCCCACAATGCAACTTAAAAATCACCCTGCAGAGAGACCTTACGTTCCTCAGCCTAAATCCAGACTTCAGTGTGTCTTGAATTATGAGGTTGTCCAGACCACTAATAGAGGAGCAGGGGAATTTACACCAAAAGGAAAAAACAAGCCAACAATAAAAATAACCATTTATCTCTTCTTCCTCCCCAATGTCTTACTCCAGAGGTCACTGTGTTCTCTTGTGGAAGCAAAGCTCTATAATGTGACTAGACGCTTTAGGCTAAATCCCAGAGTTCTTTCTCACTTTTCCATGAGTAACTTTGGTGGATTTTTAGTTTGCATTTTTTCCTTGGATAAGGTCTGAGAAATAACCAGGAGCTCCACAACAAAGCTATTGGTCACAAAAAAGCCCAGGTCAGTGGGGCACGTGCTGCCTGGCTCCTCGCTCAACCCAGGGTAACTCATGCCATAGTGTTAGGAAAGAAACGAGCTCCCAGCCCCACGTTCTTCCTATGTTGCAGATGAGGCTTGCTTACAATAGCCTCAGCTCAGCAGACCAAAACTGCAGGTTACAAGAGGGTACATCTTGCTCTGTGAAATCTTACATGCAACAAGGGCCGAACAGACAGGTTGCCTCTGAACAGAAAGCAGCCTGCAGAGCTCAGTGGCCAGTTTATGAAAGCAAACCCTCACTCATGTCACTATGACACCATGTTTTACCAAGCAGCAGGTCTAACACTGTCTAGAAATAAGTACAGCTGTTTAGGAAGAGCAGGACAAACAGCTCCCTAAAAGCTTCCCCTTGCAGAGCTTCCCGTAGAAACCCAACTGCCTTGTAAAGATGCCATTGCATGGGACAGCTACTGTTGTCTCAATTCAGTGAGCTCCAGCCCCAGCTCTCCTCCTAAGGTTATTGTGCAGACAGGACGAAGCATTTTACAGGGTTGTTTGGCCCAGAAGTTGTTTGGGATTGCCTGGGCTTTTTGAAAACACAGCTTCAGCACCTCAGGGTCCCCGGCTGCAGGGATGTTGTGCAGGCTTCCTGCTGCCTTCCCAGGTTCTGCCGCTAAAAGAATAATATTCCTTGCTTCCCTTGCACTTCGAAATCATACAGCGTGTTTTGTCAATGTCCACCATTGTTTAAAGTCCCTCCGGGCTCCTGCTGGGGACATTATTTCTCTCTGTGTTTCATAGGCAGCGGGGGATTCTTCCTGATTTTAAAGAGGGCTCCCATGGATTGTGAATAATCTGTGACGTTGCTAACACAAGCCTTATCCAGCTGCCTTGTAACACACAGAAAGGGTCATGTCTGAGTGATCTGCGGGCATTTTGAAACAATCGGAATCAGAAAGAGGAGAGTTGGCAGGTCACCCGGAGAAACCACTATGCACACAGCAGTTTCAATACACTTACTGGAAAATAATGTCTTTCTGAACGCTTGCTAAACATTTGCTTGTCCTTAGCCCTCAAAGGGCATACCTCAGCTGTTGTAACTCAGGCCAACCCATCTCTTCTTAGTTAATACTACATAGCACATCGTCCAGTTTGATGTAAAGGCAGCCAAGCGAGGGAGAGAAATGTGGCACCTTACCTAGGGCTTGAGCTGATGTCCTCCAGGGCTATGAGTGAGAGGCAGCTCCCCTGGTCAGGCAGGCCTTTCTAGGCTCCTTCTTCCAGGTCTGTCTCTGTGTACCCCAGGTGGTATCTTCCCTTAGGGCGTCCCCTTGGCTTTCTGCTCTGTTATCCCAGGGATATACAGCCATTTCTCCGTAGAGGACAGGTGAAGCTGGCTTGTGTCTGGGCACCCTAAAGCAAGTCAGAGCATAGCAAGCAACTCTGCAGAGCCATGGCATGGGAGGCACACTTTATCAGCTGTGTCCGTAGCTCATCTAACACCTCCCCTTTCTTCTTTTTGAATAAAAAAGGGAAAGATACCATTATTTAACTCTTTAACAAAATAATTTATAGAAATAATTTACAAAAGAAGTGGGTGCAGTTTATCAGAAAGATTCATACAAAGAAAGGACCTTCAAGTCCAATGGAGCAAAATGCTCGACAGTAACGATCACACGTATACACAAGCATATACAGATACACCATGTATTCACCACATACTGATTAATGAACTAAAAAATGAATTGTAAAGTGGGTAAATAAAAAGCTGGAGATTCACTGAATTAGAATGCTGAGTATGCATTAAAAATCAATTGATGTATTTATCAATAACTATAAAAATTAGCCTTACCTTAGGGCAGGTGTTCTGACTGGAAAAAGCTTTAATAAGAACATCTCTTTCTCTCCCACACTCGAGTACATTGGTCATTATTTTAACACAATCTGAAGGATTGGGGTAGATCATAGGGCAAGAGTTTGAGAATTTTACTCCTCATTTTGCCACCAATCAATTGTGTTAACAACCAAGGCAAGTCAGATTTCTGCTACATTTCACAGTTTCCCTTTTGTAAGTGGGATAATATTTCTTACAAGTTTTTGTAAAGCAGTTTGAGATCTTGGGGAGAAGGCAGCTATTTAAATGCTCTATGTTATTATTTTAGGCCCTGATTCAGGAAAACATATAAGTGTATGTTTAAATCCTGCTGCTTTAATGGGTCAAAAGCACCTACTTTAGGCTAAGCTCATATTGATGTGGTCTTCCTGGAAAAGCTGCACTAAAACTTCTAATTGCTCCTATTAAAAATATAGCCCATTGAAGCTTATTTAAAAAATAGAGTTAATTTCTAAAAGGGG